TGGACCTCCCACCCCCGCCTCCCCCACCAAACCTCTCATCCGGCGGCGTCCTACTCCTCTCCTTCGTACCCCCACCCGACGCCTCCCACTTCGCCTTCTGCTTCTGATAGTAATCCTCCGAGCTCTCTCGGATGCCCGCCTCCTCCTGCTTTTCCCGTTCCCTTCCTTCGCGTTCCCGTCTAGGAGGGGTGAGGTCTCGCCTCCTCTCTTTTCCATCTTGGGCGCTACTGAGCCATTCCTCTTCCTCGGAGGTCTCCTCGCCCACGTAACTAGGTCGTGGAGCCTCCGTTCTCGTATCGCCCTTGACTAATCCTAGTCTCTCTTCTTCAGTGGCGTCCTTCATCGTCCCGGCGTTCACGCTGGTTCTTCGTTGACCCAGACCTTTGCGGATCATGGGCGAGCGAGATGGTGGGGCGGATTCATCCCCGTTGTTTGCTCCGGCGTCAGATTGTCCCCTTCGAAACATATGTTGGAAAGAGAATTGTCTGCGCGCGGAATGAGGTGGCGGTGTGGGAGCTGCGGAGTTGGGATGTAAACTGCTTCCTCGGCTTCCTGTTCGACCTGGTTCATCGATTGTGATATGGCGCTCATTGGCGCCTTTATATTCGGTGTCTAGATAATAAGATGGTGCTGCGTCGTCTCCTTTATAAGCAGATGGAACGGTAATCTCAGTTAAAGGAACTGGGTGGAGTGGACTTTGAGGACGATTAGAGACATTGCTACCAAACTGAGAACGGCGACGATTGGGGGACATGACAGATGTCAAGCGCCCAAATACAGAAGACCCTCTTGTAATTGGCCTTTCTTCGTCTTCGTCTTCTGGATCAGGCATTCGAGACATTCCTAGAGGTGGATGCTGGATAGGTGTTTGTGATTGCACAGGTGTTCGTGGAAGTGGGTGTTCAGTGTATGCTGGGAAAGGGGTGGAGTTCTGGCGAGACCGAAGGCTACCAGCATTGGTTCCAAATGTTGTTCTACGTCTTCGAAGGCCATCGAATTCATATACAGGCTGACCGTCTTCACCGATAGGATCAAGATCATGGGCCATCTTTTCTTCATGGAGTCTTTTAGCCTCCTCTGCTTCCATCTTGGTTCTTGCTTGAGAAAATCTTCTGATGATAGCAGCCGTTCCTCTAATGGCATCTGCTTTTGGCTCGGTTTCGGGTTGCTCTTGTTCTGCAATAGTTCGAACTTGGTCGAGATCACCTGCAAATACAGCTGTATCTGGAACATCCTTTGCAGATTTCGAGAGTTGGAGAAGAACGACCCCCGCGCAAATGGTAAAAAAGCCCATCACGACTGTAATGATGGACTTTGGAGTCCCCTTGAAGCCTCGGAATAGAATAGCCGAAGTGATGATGGTGGAACTTGTAAAAAATACATAATAGGTAGGTGTGACCAAAGCGGCATTAAAAAGATTGAGGGCTTTCTGAACAGGAGTTAGAGATGTCCGAGAGAGAAGTGATTTTGATACTTACGTTGAGATAGATGATCTCAACTAACAGAGTGCAAATTACGAAAACGAATAGAACGTAAAGAAACCACTGGTCATACTGCTTCACTCCACCAATTTGAGAGATGATAGCAGCTCCTAATCCTTGAGTTGCAACAACACTGAGACCTCCGATAAGACTGCAAATCGAGATATATACCATCATGGTCTTCTTTCCGTATCTTGGGCCTGCCCACCAGGCAGTGAATGAACAAGCAATTATAATCACACCGGCATAACTCAAAAAGCCAGGTGCAATGACAAAAGCCTGCATTTCTTGAATGGTAGCAGCAGAGGAGGACTCGGGCGCATTAAGCACAATAACCACGGATCCGATAATGCATAGAAAACAGCCAACCTTGCCCACCATACTCAATCGTTCCTTCAAGAATATGGCGGATAGAATGGCGGTAATAACGACGGATAAAGCACCCATGGGAGTAACCAGAATCGCATCGGTAAAAGCGTATGCCACAAAGTTGCAAATCTCTCCAATTATCATTAGGATCATGCCGGTCCACCAGAAGGTATTCTTCAAATATCCATAACCTTCACCCGCCACTTCTTCATATTTGTCGTTGGCCTTTAATAACCCAACCTTCTTTAGCACAAATGATACGCCGATGAAGACACCGGATGCGATGGCCAGGCATATTCCAATGACTTTATATATGGGCGGCCTGTCTGCTGTGCCATTACTCGATCCCCCACCCATTCGTTCGTATAACTGATGAGCATTTGCCAGGTTGTTTGCGACGTCCTCCATAATTGCGATTTTGGGGGACAACCGTCCGCCGACGTCGAAGGGGGGTGATTTCTTTTACTGAGACCGATCAACAGCGCACAGCATGCCAAACAAAAATTTATCGAGTATCCGTAATGATCTCTGGGATCAGTTGAAGCAATGAGGAGAGAGGGAAGTCGGAATTATGGTGTTTTGTTGTGAATTAGGAGCGCATGTGGTGTTGGTATATTGAGCGGACCTGGTGCAAAGGGTCTATGAACAGGGAAGAAGGTTGGAGGGGAAGGAAAAGAGATCAGATCGTTTCTTCAACAGCCACGATGGACCGTGGTCGGTCGCAGAAATCACTCGGTGTGGTAGGCTAGATGGGATTTTGAAACGGTTGCCGTGGGAGGAGGTGCAGTGCACTGGTGAGTGTTTGGTTGTGGTTTTCGCAGAGCGAGACGCCGTGGATGTGGTCGGCGGGCCAAATGCCAATAATGGGTGGATGATTAATTTTACTGCAAAATATATGGATGAGAATGCGGATTTCGATTTCTGTGAGGGGCTTCTGAATTGTAGTCCTGTACCAAGTTCAAGCCGTTCCAACTGGAAGCGAACTATGGGTTGCGTGTGCGGGTGGTAGTGGTTTGGAGTGCAGGAGTGCAGTTGCAGTGCAGTAGTCTGGACTTGGACTCGTTGGAGACTCAAAATCCGTGGTGGCTGGAGCTTGAGCTTGAGCTTGAGGGGCCGAGGAGGCAGAGGCGTCGCAATCAAAGTCCAGGTTGGGCGGCCAACGAGGCGCAGCAAATGCAGACGCACGAAATTTTGCGAGTACGGGGGTGCAGAGGGAAAAACCGACTCGTAACCAAAACCCGGCCCAGCTGAAAGAAAATCCGAATTAATGAAGCGTACGAGGTTTGCGATGAACAATTGCGGCATACGTACATGTGAATATTTCAGTGAACAATTGCGTGGATGTGAATGATCCAACATGTGCCTACAGTGTGTCTATGAATGAGTGGTTGGTTGACCCGCTCTGCCTATGACCTCAGTCTGCGACAGGAGATGATTCGCTTCGCTACACCGTACGGCCCCAATCCTGCAGGGTGATGAAATAATGTAAAGTCGGGACGAATCCTGGGGTAAAAGGGAGTGGTTGGGTGGCTATTATTATTCACGGCCTCAGTTGCTCGTCATCGCTTCCTTGATTTACTTGTGTTTATATCGTTATCGAATTGATCCGCAGACAAGATCCATATTCGGCTACCCCCTGACAACCTTTTTTATAGAATTCCCCAAGAGCCTATCATTTATATTATCCGAGCCCGCATCGGACATTGTCTCCTAAGGCATTATCCTTCTCCTTTCGTTATCTTTCAACAACATTACGAATTCATTCTTGATATCGAATATCATCTATGAAATCTTGAACATTAGTCCTCAATTAACAATAACCCTCAACTCACAAAAGATCCAAAATAAACAAAATCAAAGCCCCTCATCTACGAAAACCGAAAAATGCCACCGCTCCATCAAAACCCGGTAAGGATTCTCACCCCACAAAACGATCATCCCTCCCGTCGCAACCCAAACGCCCCTCCCAAGCCCCAACATTTACCGCCAAAATGCTTCCGGAAGCTTTCTTCGCTTGCACCAACCTCTAGGCATTTCTTACCAATCCTCATATTCCAACGAATGGTGAAGAGCCACATAATATCCGCATCAGGAATTAACGTAGGTAGTATGCGAACGTTGGAAGGTTCAAGACTTGACTTGGTCCCGGAATAGAAGGGATGAAAACCAGACACACCGACGTTTGTCGCCCGATCAATCGTTTCCGATTTTGACACTACGAAGTTTCGATGTGTACTGTACTGGTATCATGCTTGTGCATCTTCTTCGAGCCTAAAAACAGAGATGAGGTGTAATAAGAACCCCCGCCCGTACAATGCTCATTTTACATTGCAATTATCCAGATATCTTTGGGATCGACCCCAACCCAAGTGTAGACAGTAGACTTCAAAATCACGAAATCCAAACATCGTCGGAATAGATAAGCTGATAGTAGAAGTGGCGATGTTATTTCCATCCCCATTCAAGCTTTCAACCGGTGCTTAGTTCAGCTCTTGATGTGTCTTGGTTTCCCAAGCTTATCGTTCGATCAGCGGAGGAGAATTCTTATCCAGTCTACCTCCGTATTGTAGTGGCGCATGTAATCTTTGGGCAATAGCAGCAGTCCTGATGGTTAACTTGGCAATCAAATGATGGTTGAGAGGTTTGGAATCTTATGGAGCATGATGGTACTGAGTATGAATATGAAGTTAGCATTTCCAGTTGCAAAATGCCCTTCGAGGCAGGTCACGTTTTGTTCTCCTGGGGTAGATATCACGTGCTAGGCTGGGATTGCTTCATCGAAAGGTACCCTAGAAGGCTCCTAGTGGACAAGAAAGGTGGCGGAGACCTCTTTTATCTTAGCCTAACTTAATTTTATTCTATTGTTTATTTAGATTAATTAATATAATTACTATAAATCGATATAAAAAATAAGAGTAATTATTCCAGATATTCTAAGTATTTTTAATACTTAGAATTATCTTACGCTAATGATCAAAAATTGAATCACTCTCATTTTTCTTATCCGTCAGGAGGGTTGAAATGTTGGGCTTTTATTTGTTTACTTAATGTTATTATAGCTTTAACTCTGGAGGTTTATATGGTATATAGTCTAATGTAAAGTAAAGGCCCTAATATGTGACCTGCTTATCCACTTAGTGCTGATTGCTGTTTATGTTCGAGGATACTTTGGATGAGCTTGCTCATGTCAAGCAAAAGAAGAACCCCGTGAGTCTCACTCAGTCTGTTGAAACTTTTGGCTAGCTCAGCTGAAAGAAACACGGGTACTGTTATATTTAACCAGGTGATGGATCTTCCTTGAAAGGAGGAAGCCCTTCCAGGATCTTTTTCCATTCTATCTTGTTACTTTTCATTTCGTTCCTTTCTTTGATTTTCAGGCGATTCAAAAGTGTTGGTGTCTCTCAAAATGATTCATTAGCAGCGTTGTTTGCGAAAGTTGGGTCTCTGATGCTGTATGTTATTCACTGAAGTGGAGCTCAAATCTTCACAAGCGAGTTTTTTCCCTCAGAAGATATCTTCAGCTTCAAAAAAACTGGAGCCGATCTCGCATGATTTCGTGAATATTTCAATCAGATTTTTCTCTCCACAGGTAACACAAAAAAATCCATATATCTACCATCCTCAACCCTCTTTGCTCCCAACTCCACCGAACCAACACTTCCTCACGCTTCAAAGTCTATCCTCAACCCACCCAATCCATCACCATGCGCACCTCAATCCCCTACCTCTCTCTAACCCTCTACTTCACAACCCTCATCCAAGCCTTCATCTCCCTCTCAGTCCCCAAACGCATCACAGCCGGTATCCCCACCGAAATCCTCATCACCAACGACCTCGACCAACCCACCTCCACAGACGCCACCACCGACACCTTCCGCATCTACCTCTGGCACAACACCAACATGTGCTACCTCCTCCGCCAATGCCCCATCAGCACCACCAAACTCAACATCAACATCCCACCCAGCGCGGGTCCAAACGACCACTACATCCTCGTCGCCATGCAAGTCACGCTCCCGCCACATCCCTTCGTCAACCCCATCTTCACGAATAGCGCGGGCTTCAACTTGACGGGTGCGACGGGGAGCTGGTCGAAGTATGAGACGAGTTTGGCGGCGGTGAGGTTGCTGACGGATCCGGATCGTGTGCCGTGTGAGGCGATGGCCTGCGCGAGGGATTGTGTGGTGGATTTTGATGAGGATCATGCGGAGAGGGTTTATGATCGGGCGCATTATGAGTGTTTGAAGAAGTGTCCTGGGGTGGATTATCCTAGTGTAAGTTTGAAGTTCTTTGCTTTTCTTCGCCTCCTACAGTTGTTTTCCAACCCCATTCCCCATGGCCTGAAAAAACTTCATCTCCATCGTATTTTTTTTTAGGAAGTAAAGAGATACTAACCACCAACCCAGTGGGAAGAATACCAAAACCCCAGCACCACATCCCCCACCCCCTCCCTCTCATCCTCCCAAAAATCATCAATTTCCTCAACCACATCACTAAGCCACGACACCACCAACACGACAACCGCCATTCAACCGACCTTGACTCCTCAACTACCACCTGTTGCACCCCTCGTCCCAGTCTCAACAGGCACCCCCACACCAGCGCCAACTAAGAGTCAGAGTCCCAGCTTTGCGATCTCGATGGAGATTTGCTCGCTGGTTTTCATTTGTGTGGCTGTTCATTTGGGAGTTTGGCGGTGGTGAGTATATCGCGGGAGCGAAGTTGGGAGACGAGGTGATGGTTTTTCAATGGGGTGTTAGGGAGTTGAAAAGGGGTCTTATGGTTTACTTATGAATGCTTGTTTTGATACAAGGGCTAGAATCGGATACTATTTCTTCTCCTTCTAATTTTTAGATATCAATATCATAGACTAGAAGCGAGATTTCGCCGAGGAAGGACGTGGTTCGTTGATGCATCAAAAGCGGTTCTTTTGTTAAGAACCTCATAATCCCACCAAGAACGGAGGGGAATAATACTTAATCACTAATAAATGGATGGTTATTACTACCGCGGATTCCTAGATCTCCAATAACTTTCGCGATCCATTCGTGTAATGATATCACGTGGGTCGGTGATACTAATATACTATATAGGAAGTATTTCACGTATTGGTCTCTCAAGAGTGTTCTTTAGAGGAGACTGTAGGACTTGACAACCACTGAGGAAAGAGTCGTGGACTGTAGCGTCTACTATTTTCAAAACACTTTTTGGAGACGATACTATCTTGACTATATTACTAAATAAATCCACGGTATTAATATCGTAAAACCTCAATATCGCAAACAATTCACACCCTGTCCAACTTCCACCCTGTCCAACTTCCACCCTCCCTAGCTCTCCTCTTCTCTCAATCAAACCAGCAATGATCCAATGAAACAGAGTCAATATCCCTATCTCCCTTTTCAATTTCTCAATATCCTAGCAGTGTAACTACACACTTCGAGCGTAAATCTCTATAAAATCCATCCCATTAGTACTTTATACTCCATTTTCTTAACCCCTCTCCTACACACAATAATACAAAATCAAACCACTAGCGAAAGACTAAGATCCTCACCTGTTTTATACTACAGGATAATATTTAGGGAGAGGAGGAAGAGGGGTAATAGTAGAGCAGAACAGTACAGATGTTCTAACAGTAAGTCAATATGTGCTTCAAGGGTACCATGTCCCTGGTTTTTCATGGTTCTCCACCCCTGAATTTCTTGGTTTTTGGATCTTGGATTTGGGGAGTGTGTGGGAGGGCTTGGAAGGGTTTTTTTGGGTTGCTCTTTGCTTAGTGGGTTGTGGTGTTTGTGTTTGAAGAATATCAGAATATTGTTGGCTGGATGGGACCTTTTGTAAGCTGGGAGTTGGGGTCGTTGTTCGAAAGTTATGTGGTATTTTTGGTCACTCGAATTGGTATCTTTTTTGTTAGTGGCTGCTATACTGCAACGGTTATTTTGAGGGGGTTGGCTTTCCAAGTTATGGGAGGCGGTTCGTCTTAATCAAACAAGAGGCTTAAGAACAAGGACTCGAATATATTACTCAGAAACAACTGTCGGTATAATACTATCGAGTATATTCACTCGATTGTATGCTATACCCGATCAGGCAACTACACTCGATTAGGTAGCTACACTCGACCGTACAGGGGTGGGGCTTGGCACTACTATATAATAGTGGTGCCCTAGCCTACTACCTTTGCTAGGTATCGAAGTGCATTAATAATAGGAATAGTCTAATACTAAGGTTTAGCCTCTTCCTATATTGTACTTTATATATTTAATAATAAGTCAAACTAATACTAATTAGTATATTAGTATTGCGCGCGCGTTACATAGATTAGAGACTTTCGAGACTTTGTTTACGAAGCTATTCACAAAGCTATTACGGATAAGTGTGAGAGGCCAGACCTCGAATAGCTCAAAGGTGTGGTTTCGAATATTCAATTAAGAAGTGCGTGAAGACTACATACATGCAAGCTCTTCCTCTATATATAGAGAGAGGAAGAGTCTCTGGAATATTCCAGGAAGCTGCCTAACGAATACATGATGTCAAAAGAATAGAACAGAAAAGTATGGAACAGCAGAGACTTGCTTGGCAGTGGGGGAATGGCCAGTGCTGAGCGGGGACTTTGGTCAGTGCTTAGCGAGGGCATGGCCCGAGCCTCCATCATGGGTTTCAACCCTCACAATAAGCTAAAAATAATAACACTATAAATCTGAATATCACGAACATCGCGACTTCTAGCCCCCTAGGGACATAAATCTACACTTCTATCCCTTAGCGTATATAAATGACTATACAAATATAGCATCTATAAGTACTTTACCTGTAGATACTACGTGTCACGAATCACGTGCTCACGTGATACTTGTCATAATAAGAGGCGCAACCCTCGACAGGCATACCCAGGTTTCTTATAGCAAATAGGGATCGCTTAGGCTAGCTAAGCGATCCAGGGATTTCCATTGGTTATGGTCACATGATTAAGTTGGATCGCTGGATCGCTCGGCGACCTAGCGAAACGGACCGCCAGCTCGACAGGCGAGTTGGCTACCCAGATCATAGTACTTGAGGATGAAGGTTCTATATAAGACTGGCACGTCTGCCATTAGATAGGAGCTTCGTGCTCAACTTAGTTATCAATCTTATCATATTTGTTTGACATCTTTGATACAAGTAACGAGTTCACTTCCAAGTGAACAACCCGATAGTCTTCTTCTTATCATAGCATACCAACCAGCGAACACCCAGCCAATTTTAGTTAGCCAGTTTGAGTATTCGTTACACTACGCTTATAGATAACGACGATAACGATAATAACCTATAGCGTAGAGATAAGCTTATAGAGCGTAAGCGTCTCTTTTACAAGAAGTATATGAAGGTAATAATCGGTTACTATTAGCACGGGTTAGTTTGGGACAAGGAACTTACTAATAAATTTGTAGATGACTTTAGTTTATAGCCTCTTATATGTTACAAAAGCTATACTAAAACATACTATAGAAATCTTCGCTCTGTACTTTGAAGACGAGGAGTTTAGGTTAAAGACAATAATATAAAGATCTTAGTTATAAGAGTTCTCTTCAAGGTAGTATAAAGACGGGAACTATATATATAGAAGTAAAATAAGGTTATTCGTAAATATCGACATACAACACATTCGCGGATACTTCGAATAAGACTTAATAACGTTGTACTTTCATATATAATTAAAGATTAATTCGCTAATACAAAGAACGGTTTACGTAATTCGTTAGTATATAAGCCCAGATAATAAGTTCCGCTAGAAAAATAAGTTATAAAAGAGCCTTAAATACTCGTATTTATACCTCGTCGATAAGCCTATAAGCTAGTACCGAAAGAGCTAGCTTTACTAGTACTATAAGAGTTATTAGTATAAATTAGGTAATAAACACCCGGATCGCTACCTATTCTTTTAATAAGACCTACTGTTCTACTAGTAAAATAAGTTCCGATAGAACTAGTTTCTCGACTATTAGTATAAATTAGACAAAATCTACTAAAATCACCCTCTGTTCTTTTAAAGAGACCTAGGTGTAACGAATACTCAAACTGGCTAACTAAAATTGGCTGGGTGTTCGCTGGTTGGTATGCTATGATAAGAAGAAGACTATCGGGTTGTTCACTTGGAAGTGAACTCGTTACTTGCATCAAAGATGTCCAACTAATATGATAAGATCGATAACTAAGTTGAGCACGAAGCTCCTATCTAATGGCAGACGTGCCAGTCTTATATAGAACCTTCGTTCTCTCTACATCGCCTACATCACCTGTCGATGTAGTCGACCTCCTATCGCTAACATCGACTGTCGATACAGGCGATGCGATTGATCACGTGACTACATACACGAGAAATCCTTGGATCGCTTAGCTAGTCTAAGCATCCCTATTTGCTATAAGAAACCTGGATGTGCCTGTCGAGGGTTGCGCCTCTTTATTATGACAAGTATCACGTGAGAACGTGATTCGTGACACTAGGGCTCTACTAGTAAAGTAAGTTCTAACAAGGCTAATTCCGAAGTCGGTTCTACTAGTTACGTAAGCGCTAATTGTTCCTATAATTACGTAGGAGCTAGCTTTAAAAGTACGACAAATTACGCTAGAGCTAATTCCGAAGTCTATTCCGCTAGTATAAATTCGATTATTAGTATCTATTATATTAGTATAATTTAGATAAGACCTACTAGAATCGCTTACTATTCTTTTAATAAGACCTACGGCTCTATTAGTATAAAAGTCGGTTCTACTTATATACTAAGAGCTACTTACGCTAGTATTACTAGTTCCTTTAATTAAGCTAATTCCGCCTGTGACGGTTCTAAGCGTCACCACCATTCGGATCACGTGGTCTCGCTTAGCGACCCACACCAAGTATTTAGATCGAAGCTCTCTCGAGCTCTCCTCTTCTCCTCAGCTTAGAATCTTTGTTTAATTGACAGTTCTACGATTCCACAACCTACACCGTGGGCCTTGCGTACGTGTCGTCACACCGCCTATAGTATGATAAATTATTCCTATAATTACGTAAGAGCTAGCTTTGATAGTATAATTGTGACAGACGTGCTTCAGGTAGAACTCAGAACAATTAACACTCTATTCTTAGGACAAAAGACGAGGAAAGAAGGAGAGCTCGAGAGAGCTGGGAACTAAATACAGGTCGTGCGTGCTAGCGCCTCGCTAAGCGAGCATGTGACATCCAGCCCTCGTGACCATAACCGTCACAATAATAAATTATTTATATAATTAAGTAAAAGTCGGTCTTACTAGTATACTAAGAACTAATTACGCCAGAGCTTATTTAGATACTATAGTAAAACTTGGTTCCGCCGGTATACTAAGAGCTATAAAAGCTACTTCTGCTAGCTCCGACAATTTAGTAAATGCTACTTTTGCTAGTACAAGAGTCTAATGTTAAGTAACTAGTTCCGCTAGTTATATAAGAGTAAAACTTACTTTCGAAAGTATAGTAAAACTTACTTTCGAAAGTATAGTAAAACTTACTTCTAATAGTATAGTAAAAGCTAATTTCGCTAGTACGACAAGTATATTTAGTTTTATTAACTTTAACTTTAACTTCTACTTTAACTTTATATAATTACCTAATCAATTAACGCTTAGTCCTTGGATTTATAACTCTCGGTATCGAGTAAAGGGATAGATATAATTAGACGATATAGACATAGAAGGACAAATATAATTAGACAATATAGATATAGATATAGAAGGATAGATATAATTAGATAAAATAGTAATAGTAAGAATGAAGGGATTTAAGTAATAGTTATAAATTACGAGCTATTAATGGACTTAATTAATAGTAGGGGAGAAATCGAGGGATTTAATTAGTGAAGGATTAAGGGATACTTTTAGTTAGTTATCGAGTACTTGCTCCTTTACTTCTATTGAAGTAAGCCTAGTGTCGGTATAATATTATCGAGTATATTTACTCGATTATATACTATACTCGATCAGACAACTACACTCGATTAGGTAGCTACACTCGACCGTACAGGGGTAGCGCTTGGCATTACTATATAATAGTGCCCTAGCCTACTACCTTTGCTAGGTATCGAAGTATATTAACAATAGGAATAGTCTAATAATAAGGTTTAGCCTCTTCCTGTATTACACTTCACATATTTGACAATAAGTCAAACCAACAACAACAAATTGTAGGTGTTCAAGGAATCGAGGATACTGCTCAGGAACAAGGAACGACTAATAATAAGCGTAAGCGTAAGGGCAAGGAGTACTGGACTCAACATCCACCAAAATCTACCACAAGTAGACTCCAAGGTAGGAAGTAAGTAGTAGTAGATTAATTCACTTTGTTCATTAATTTGCAAGTGTATTTATATGTAAGAACTAATGTAGAAATGGAATCCTAGGACTGCTATTTACTGACAGAAACACCCCTTTTTGTAGAATACCTGACAGAAGTACCGCACTTTTGGAGGGTACTGACAGAACTTCCCTTCTTTCAGGGGGTAGTCTGTTAATTCCTAATTACACAAGTGTTGTTTGGTCAAATACCGATATTCAATTGATTCATATATAATAAAATAAATAAGTTTCTTGTAGTATATACAGAGTATTAAGGAAGCTCTTATCCTTCTATTCTACTATTATAGTAGGTTCTTTTACTGCTTTCTTAGTTGAAGTATTCCTACAGGTTTACTTTTTACATTGGGTATCTGGGGAAATCTTCAACCTTAAAACAACCTTAAAGATATCCTCAAACTCGGGAGTGGTCTGCTAATCACCACAAGGAAGCAAGGATTTCCCAGCTTTCACCCGAGGATGTCAGATGTGGCCAATGAAAACACCAGGTTCAAAGGATAAAATAACCTTACCAGATGTCGAATTTAATTCTTCCGCGAACTCTAACACTACCAAGTTGCAGAGCAACAATACATATCACCGATTCCCCAAAGAAGTTTGGTATCTCTATGTGTTCAACCCCTCACCTCCGGCTCGACCACGGCTTACAACCCTGCCGCAGATTTCCCCGGAATAATTATGATTTTCGGGTAAAATGGCGACGACAACTTAGAAATTGAATCATGCATACATATCATGGTGAAAGATACCTCGGCCTTTCCGAGAATAGGTGAGGAGAAGCTGGGATTCTAGACGTGCTCAAAAGGAACATGTTACCGTCGGAAAAATATGATTTTAGGTACGGTGCCCGGATAGCTTTCCCTTCTTCCTTGGCTTCTTCGCCCAGACTCTCCTCATGGCGCGATTCTGCGTCTTGTTTGCCCTTTGTACTTTGTTTGGTTTTGTGGTACCGCAAGCCTTTGGGAACTCGACGACAAACAATTCTAGTGAGTCGGTGGTGACGGTTAATTGGCTTGGTGAGAAACCGACATACCAATCTGGGACGACTTTTGGAATTCCATGGGCTCGTGGTAAACATTTTCCGGAAACTACAAAGTTTACTATCTCAGATGGCTCGACTCTTCAGTCTTGGGTTACTGGGTACTGGCCAGATGGTTCGGTAAAATGGTCTGGACACGCTATTGGAGAGACGGAGAGCAGTTTGGATAGCTATACCGTGAAAGCTACACCAATTGCGAATTCATCTTCTCCGGGTTACTCGAATTCGACTTCATTGGTCATTATAGACTCGGCGGAGAAAGTCACGGTTAATACTAGCAAGATTCTTGCGTCATTTCCCAAGACTGGAAGCTTCTTAATCGATTCCATTCAGACGAAAACTGGCAAAAGTATCGGAACAAATGGCAAACTCGTGCTCCAATCCCAATCAGGTGTTCCGGCAGACTCCAGTAATCGCGGAAACTCGTCTATACAGTATTTCAACTTTGAGAGCAATATTGAAGAAGTGACTGTTGGGGAAGACAGCTCAGCCAGAGCACTGGTTACAGTCAGGGGAAAGCATCAAGTCAACAATGGTGGAAGTCATGAAAACTGGCTGCCCTTTGTTGTCCGTTTCTATCTTTATGCGAATTCCGAATCTATCAAGCTTGTTCACAGCATCGTCTTTGATGGAGCGGCGGAGAAAGATTTGATCACAGGTATAGGAATTCGATTCTCGGTTCCACTCGCTGGAGAGAAGCTATATAATCGACACGTACGCATTGCTGGTGTCGATGGTGGTTTACTAAGCGAGTCCGTTCAAGGAATTACGGGACTTCGAAGAGATCCTGGAGCAGTAGTAAGAACTGGTCAATTTGACGGTGTCGAATTACCAGATGAAGCTACCTGGGACGTGAGAGTTACCAGCAGATTGAAGTGGATCCCAACGTTTTGCGATTACATCTTATCGCAATTAACGCCTGACGGTTTCACACTCAAGAAACGAACCAAAGCAGGGCAGGGTTGGGTCAAGATTCCGGGAGGCACTCGCGCTGGAGGACTTGCTTACCTTGGTGGTGCTACTCAAGGAGGCCTGGCAATTGGTCTTCGTGATTTTTGGAAACGCTACCCAAGTGGTTTGGAAATCTCAAACGCTGCAACGGACGAAGGAGAAGTTATTCTCTGGCTTTATAGCCCAGAAGCTGAGCCTTTGGACCTTCGACCGTTCCATGATGGCCTAGGACAAGAAGGCTATGTAGATCAATTGGATGCTCTAGAAATCACCTACGAGGACTGGGAAGGGGGATTCAATACTCCTTATGGAATTGCAAGAACAAGTGAGATATCGCTGTTTGTATTTGAGAGCACGCCATCACGGGAAACGCTCGCCAATTTGTCAACTCACATTGACAATCCTCCAGTTCTTGTTGCCGAACCAAAGTACATAAGAGAGTCCGAGGCAATCGGAACATACTGGGACTTGCCTGACACCAGCAGTGCCGCATCAGCCGAGATTGAGGGACACTTGGAGTTTCTGTTTAAGTACTACGAGAGTCAGATTGAGCAACGAAAATGGTACGGATTCTTGGATTACGGCGATTTCATGCATACATACGACACTGATCGACATACCTGGCGTTATGATATTGGAGGTTACGCTTGGGATAACTCTGAACTTTCGCCTGATCTGTTTTTCTGGCTTTTTTTCCTTCGTACAGGTCGAGAGGACGTCTATCGTTTTGCTGAGGCTTTGACGAGACATACCGGTGAAGTTGATGTCTATCACATTGGTCAATGGTAATTTCACATCGTCTCTTTGACTATGTAAACAACTAATGTTCTGATAGGAAGGGACTGGGTACTCGTCATGGAGTCCAACACTTCGGAGACAGCGCAAAACAAGCCCGGATCTCCCAACCGCAGTATCGAAAATATTTCTACTACCTCTCCGGTGGCGATGAACGAATTGGAGAACTAATGCAAGAACTCCTCGACACTGACAAAACTTATGGAATTCTCGACCCCATCAGAAAAGTGCGTACTGATGGATGGACACCAACACCAAACTCCACAGTGACTTTCCAGTTAGGAACCGACTGGTCATCCCTAGCAGGAGGGTGGCTAATCGAATGGGAGCGTCGTGGCTCTCGATGGGAAGAAGCAAAATCCAAACTCAACAGCACCATGACCGGAATCACGAACCTAAAGAACGGATTTGTAACCGGAACAGGACTGTACGATTTATCAACCGGCTCACTTGGCCCTCCGCCAGCCGATCCCCTGAACCTGGGAAATGTATCCGTATCCCATCTCTCCTCCGTCTTCGGCCTCCCAGAAGTAGTCTCCGAAGCAATAATCTACTTCGGCCCCGACATCCCAAAAGGCTTCCAAGACGCATGGCTAGACTACTGCTACTACTACCAAGCAGCCTCTCACGCCGAACAAATCGCTCGATACGGGGCTAGTTTCGGAAGTCTGAATTTGTATCAAGGACATTCGAGACTTACTGCCTATTACTCGCGTGAGAGGGGGAATGCTACGGCTGCTAGAGAGGCGTGGAAGGAGTTCTTTACCACGGATGGGTTTAAAGCGACATCCCCGTGGAATACGACGAGGGTTGGGGGCGCTGATGCGCTTGTGGGGGTGGATGAGTCGGCGTGGGTTTCTACTAATGATGTTGCGCAGTATGGGTTGGCTGCTATTCAGAATTTGGCGTTGGCGAGGGAGGGGTTGGATGCTTATTTTTCGTAGAAATACTAGTACTGTTGACGAGAAATTACAACAACAAATCATATAAACTTTATTGCTGATTCCAATTTGTAGGATGCAGGTTGGCTCCAGTGGCAGCTCGTCCCCGCTAGCATGATAAACAGAAGTGACTATAAGTGTTATTCCTATTATTTTACCTGGTGATGCAGGAATAATGTGTCGTGGATCCATAAAGAAAAGTTTTAGTCGATTCTGAAGAACTTCATGAATTGCAAAGACCTTGAAGGTTCGACAATACTACCAGGAAATTCCATCATGAGAAACCCTTACAGTATGTGGTATAATCCTACTGTACCACTCGCAAGCATACAATTGAACATATAACGCAGCCAAGAGAGATCACTGCCAAAATGTCCCAGAAAGAATGATAGTGCATTAGTAGTAATGTACATGCCAAGGCAGCTCCACATCCAACTTAGGAACGAGAGGCTGGTATCCATGATAGCACTTCACCTTTCCGCGAACTATGCATGAAGCACGATCCAATTGAACATTTATCACAGTACTGTCTTCTAATTGGCACCTTTTCTTAATGAAAGTACTGTTACAATTATTGGTCGAAATGGCTTAAATATCAAGATGGTCTCAATATATAGTATTCTCTTAGAAGAAATGATTCCACAACTCCCTTGGCATGTATTTAATACGATATGTTCCTAAACTAGTAATAGTATTCAAGGTCGTATGAAGATATTCCAAGAAACCCTGTACAGTTCAGATAGTAGCGCCACCAGGAGACAGAAGCTCATTACTAGAATTTTAAGTCATTTGATTTCCAAGAATTATCCGCACTCTTTCAAAATAACAAAAATCTATGGTACTGTTGATTCAGGTCTTCTCTAGCAATATAACTCGCTCTTTCAACTTACACGAAACAATTGTGTAGAAAGGAATGAATTCCCTTCTATCACTCACTCACTAATTCTTTCACAGCGTAGTGCTGCTTTTGGGCTTTCTACATTTAAGGAGAAATAGTTTGATTCAGCTACCAGGATTAGATATTGTATCAAGACTCTGGCCAGATCCTTGGGAAAAAGAAGTATAATTCATGAGGAGGAAATTACTATACCAGAACTATCAATCTACATGTGCAATCTTATATCAACAGAGACCAAAAGACCTCTTCGCCCCGTCATTCTCAATCATCAACACTTCAAAATCTCCACCTCCTAAGAAGACAGAGATCCCAAAATACTCGCGCATGCAAGAACTACTCCTCAGAATGCAAGCCCAGAGCCAGCTTATTTCCAACTATCTTCAAGCCCCAACAGAATATTATTGGTACTCATTTCTAGCGTGAATACAAACTTTGAAGCTCGACTGTATTAAACCGCAGTATGCAACCCCCCTTTTGGAATTGCCCTTGCAGGTTGTCGGTGTTCTTACATATATGCTTTCTACTTGGTGTGTGAGCTTACTAGTTTGCTTGAGGAATGGACATGATGTTCTATCACTTGGATTGATAGAAGTATGATCATGTAATTCGTGTTGAAGATGATCATGATCCATTTCCTTCGACTTCCCAGCGTGAGTGTTGGTATTTGAGCATACTACCCTTATACTTCGTAGAAACGACGCTCGAGCGAGAAGAGAGCGGTGGAGTGATTCTAGGTTAAAGATGTCTTGGGGCGCAACTGCTTCATCTTTAAATACTGACCTACTCGTTTGGAGGCCCAAGGTCTTACTCCACGAGCTCAGCGAGCTGGATCAATAACGCAGTCCTATGGTTCCTTGAGTTGGTGTTCGGGCTGTAAGCACTATCTTATTTACAGAATTCTGAAGCTTGAAGCCATCCAGCAACTTGGTTTTACAATTGATATAGTTAAGAAATGCAAATTTCAAGCTTATTCACGCGAGTATCATCAACATTCACTCTCCAAATCAATAAATGCTATGCAAAGTGAAAGGAGAAGACAAGATTGTATTCCAACATTAAACGAAACACTTCCAAATACAAAACATATACACGACATTCCACACCAACCAGACATTCCCCCTCCTTCACAGGCCAAATATCCATCATCTCCAACTCGTCCCAGAAATCCAGCAGTTCCAACGATCCCCAAGTGTACAGTACCGCTCCAGGAGCTCATGTTGTAAAAGCTCGTTGGCAGCTCCTCTGCTTCTGATATCAACGCACAACCAACCCACCAACACCACCTCAACTCTCTGCTCAATTTTTCTGGTTTCTCTCACCAACAAGGCTATCTTCGCGACCTAATTAGGGTCCCGTGAACCAGGCCGTCTTGCCTAGGTCAACACCGAAGCAACCTCTACCTCACAAGTAGCGACAGGCCCCTTCGCAAGTGTAAAAAGGACTCAAGCAAGTCCTTCTAGCGGCGATCATCGTCGCCCCGCCTTTGGAGACGAATCGTCTCATCCCTAGACCAACAGCGTTACCACCGCCACGCCATCAATGTCGAGGGATGATGCAACTTAGCGTCAAAGGTCGCCGTTGTGCTAGCGCTAAAGTTCCAGTCGTCACCGTAAACCATGTACACCTCATCCTCCGCCCTCCAAGTGGAAGAGCGATTTTCGGTAACCGCTCTAGCTTGCCCAGACCAATCCAAGCCTCGTATGCACCTACAAGTCTTGCCTTGCCTTTTCACAGTATCAGTTCCATCCTGCTAGCCCTTTTCCGTATTCGCGATGTATGGGTGTTTCTGAACTGCCTCGATTTTTGGTCGCTTCTCGATATCGGGTTGTAGATAGAATGCCACGATATCCTTCAGGTCGATTGACCTGGAGGTGGAGAGGTAGCTTTGACCTCCGCGACACCCACTCGAAAATGGAGGCGTGAGATGAGGGTATTGTTTGAGTTGTTGATGGCTTGGTTGATTTTGTTGCGGTGAGTTTCTGTATGTTTCTCCCAAGAGCTTGAGCTTCGCTTTATGGGGGTATGACGGTAGCATACTGATTGTCGGAATGAAGCGTGAGGAAGCTGTGGGATAGTTGGTAAGCTCAAGGATCATCATGCGTAACGGTATTTGAGAGAACTTACCCAAGGATATCCAGCTCTATGCTGGAGCTGGTGTTTGGGAGTTGGATAATGAAATCGCGAGGATTGTGTTTATTTATTTGTCCCGAAGATGGAAGAAGATGGGAGAAGAGATCGTGTGGGGTAGGATAACAAATAAAAATGGAGGCTGGGAAAGACGCTAAGTAGAGGGTTAAAGAGGCGAGGTGTGTCAAGCTGGTTGTCAGGGCAAGTAGGATACCCTTGAGAATGGGTACAGGATAGTGTCTATCACTCAACGTTTAGTTGTGATGGCTATATGAAGTAGAGCACCTTGATGCAATTCCATTCACATTCATGAAACGAAGAAAAGACCCTAGAATTAAAGAAGTGCCTCTGCACCCTAACATTCCCAAAAGTACAGCTACCCCAACCATCTCTCCCTCTCTCTCCCTTGTTCTCCACACCAAAACCACCCCCCCCCC